TTGAGATTACCAGTGGGGAAGTAAGGAAGTGTTTACTAGAGTTGGACGTGACGAAGGCTATAGGCCCAGATGGAATCTCCCCTTGGGTTCTAAAGGAAGGAGCAAGAGAACTGAGCCTACCACTCTCCATAGTGTATAACAAATCACTGGCAACAGGGGAACTGCCAGATACTTGGAAAGCAGCTAACGTAGTCCCGATATACAAGAAAGGGGATAGACAGGAGGCACTGAACTACAGGCCAGTGTCCCTAACCTGCATACCATGCAAGCTGATGGAGAAGATTGTGCGAAAAAAACTAGTGGAGCATCTGGAGCGAAGGAACTTTGTAACACAGCATCAACATGGGTTCAGGGATGGCAGGTCCTGCCTCACAGGGTTACTTGAATTCTACGACCAGGCAACAAAAATAAGGCAAGAAAGAGAAGGGTGGGCAGACTGCATATTTTTGGATTGTCAGAAAGCCTTTGATACAGTGCCACACAAGAGGCTAGTGCGAAAGTTGGAGATGCAGGCTGGAGTGAGAGGGAAGGTACTCCGGTGGATAGAGGAATACCTAAGCAACAGGAGACAACGAGTCTGTGTGAGGGGTGAGGTCTCAGATTGGCGAGACGTCACAAGTGGAGTCCCGCAGGGGTCAGTCCTTGGACCTATACTGTTTCTGGTATATGTAAATGATCTCCCAGAGGGTATAGATTCGTTCCTCTCAATGTTTGCCGACGATGCAAAAATTATGAGGAGGATTGAAACAGAGGATGATAGTAGGAGGCTACAAGATGACCTGGATAGACTGAGTGAATGGTCCAACAAATGGCTGTTGAAGTTCAACCCGAGTAAATGCAAAGTAATGAAACTAGGCAGTGGAAACAGGAGGCCAGGCACAGGATACAGAATAGGAGATGAAGTACTTAATGAAACAGACAGAGAGAAAGATCTAGGAGTTGATATCACACCAAACCTGTCTCCTGAAGCCCACATAAAGAGAATAACGTCTGCGGCATATGCGAGGCTGGCTAACATCAGAACGGCGTTCAGGAACCTGTGTAAGGAATCATTCAGAATCTTGTACACCACATATGTAAGACCAATCCTGGAGTATGCGGCCCCAGCATGGAGCCCGTACCTTGTCAAGCACAAGACGAAGCTGGAAAAAGTCCAAAGGTATGCTACTAGACTAGTCCCAGAACTAAGAGGCATGAGTTATGAGGAAAGGCTGCGGGAAATGCACCTCACGACACTGGAAGACAGAAGAGTAAGGGGGGACATGATCACAACCTACAAAATCCTCAGGGGAATCGACCGGGTAAACAAGGACGAACTTTTCAACACTGGTGGGACGCGAACAAGGGGACACAGGTGGAAGCTGAGTACCCAAATGAGCCACAGAGACGTTAGAAAGAACTTTTTCAGTGTCAGAGTAGTTAGCAAATGGAATGCATTAGGAAGTGATGTGGTGGAGGCTGACTCCATTCACAGTTTCAAATGTAGATATGATAGAGCCCAATAGGCTCAGGAATCTGTACACCAGTTGATTGACGGTTGAGAGGCGGGACCAAAGAGCCAGAGCTCAACCCCCGCAAGCACAATTAGGTAAGTACAATTAGGTGAGTACACACACACACACACACACACACACACACACACACACACACACACACACACACACACACACACACACACACACACACACACACACACACACACACACACACACACACACACGCACACACACACCGCTCCCGCACCAAACACCTATCTTCAATATTCACAAAATTACCAGACCTACAAGCTTAGAATTTGTCGTGAGGCGTTGTGTCCCTCAAAGGACATTAACCCAGGGAGCTGGGTTACCCTTAGCACTTGCCACAGCACATTAACTACAAAAAAGGGAACAATTTTACCATCTGAATGACCTGGTTCCTATTGTTGCTAAAGAAAAGATTACAATACTGCATATAGAGGAGTGATCTTTACTGAAGAGGAAGGCGGGGGAAAATGTCCCTTTGGGTTAGGTTACTAGCGAGGCAGCACCCTAGAGAGCCATCCACTTGTACCTACCACCATCTGAAGGGAAAATTTTGTCTTCCATTTTCAAAGGTGCGGCGCAGACGTTGTTCGGTAATTAAAGTTCTTATTGTGAGTGTTTTCTAGTGGTTTGTGGTTATCGCCATGGGCTATTGGAGGCAAGTTTTAAGGGCTGTAGTTCGCCCTGAATGGGCTACCGCCTCGGAAAGCTCGTTTGCTGAGTTTTATGGTTCTGGGTCAACGTATTCCTGTTCGTTGTCTTTCTAACCAAGGAGGGAGAGGGACCCGTGGGCGCCCTGTAGTACTTCAGTTGATGTGCGACTTTTAATGTTAGAAAAATAATGAGTTTTGTTGGCGATGTCTAATGTGTTTAATTACTAATGAGATGTTAAGGTAATTTCTATTCCTCATTTCTTTTTAAGTACTCATGTGTATGCCTAAACACACACACGCTCAAACACATATACATAAGAACGAGCTCGCGGTCAAACACACATGCCAGATGTATACACAAACACATATTTGTCAGATATGGACAAAATTGGCCATTAAAATCCAACCAATCACGTGTAACAATCCTCCCACACACCTCACACCTATCTAGCTGCCGCCAATCAGACACCCCCATATCTAACCAAAACCTTCATCATACATGACAATACACACCTAATCATCAACCGTGCCTACCATCCACACCTGACCAGACGTGACAGTCACACCCAGACAACCGTTCACAACTGAACAACCTCGCACACGTGACTATAGGCACTTACAAAACTGCCTAGCCATCCACCCACATCTGCCTAGCCATCCACCCACATCTGCCTAGCCACCAAAACCTGATCAACCAGCCAATCCTGCGAAACCAAAATCACCCAACCAATCACATTCACTCAGCCAAACGACCATACACACACACTCAACCAAACGACCACACGAACTTAACCGAACGACCACACACTCTCTCACCTTAACGATCACACACTCTCTCACCCTAACGACCACACACTCTCTCACCCTAACGATCACACACTCTCTCACCCTAACGATCACACACTCTCTCACCCTAACGATCACACACTCTCTCACCCTAACGATCACACACTCTCTCACCCTAACGACCACACACTCTCTCACCCTAACGACCACAACACTCTCTCACCCTAACGATCACACACTCTCTCACCCCTAACGATCACACACTCTCTCACCCTAACGACCACAACACTCTCTCACCCTAACGATCACACACTCTCTCACCCCTAACGATCACACACTCTCTCACCCTAACGATCACACACTCTCTCACCCTAACGATCACACACTCTCTCGCCCTAACGATCACACACTCTCTCACCCTAACGATCACACACTCTCTCACCCTAACGACCACAACACTCTCTCACCCTAACGATCACACACTCTCTCACCCTAACGATCACACACTCTCTCGCCCTAACGATCATACACTCTCTCACCCTAACGACCACAACACTCTCTCACCCTAACGATCACACACTCTCTCACCCTAACGATCACACACTCTCTCGCCCTAACGATCACACACTCTCTCACCCTAACGATGACACACTCTCTCACCCTAACGATCACACACTCTCTCACCCTAACGATCACACACTCTCTCACCCTAACGATCACACACTCTCTCACCCTAACGATCACACACTCTCTCACCCTAACGATCACACACTCTCTCACCCTAACGACCATTCTCACTCAACCAAACGCCCACACACATACTCACATAAATCTAAAAATTAACGCGTACAAGTTCTTAATAACATTCAAGCTTATTATTTCCCCCAAGACGCAAATAACAAAAAAACTGAACTCCGTGAATAATTTTGTTCATACAATATTGTACAATCATCACGTATCATCCATTCATCAGCGACTGTATTTCACACCTTAAATACATATTACAGGATGATATAATGTGATTATTTACAACTTATGTCTGTAACTTAAACAAGTTATCATCATTGTGAGAAAAACACTTTTATAGATCTAGTGAGCAGTTATGCTACAGTTGTCAAAAGGTAATTCTTTGACAAATGTCAGCTGCTTCAGCTGTTCAACAGCTGAAGCAGTATGAATAATAACAGCAACAGCTGCATCAGCAGCATGAAGAACAGCAGCTGCAGCAGCATGAACAGCAACAGCTGCAGCAGCATGAACAGCAACAGCTCCAGCAGCATGAACAGCAACAGCTGCAGCAGCATGAGCAGCAACATCTGCAGCAGCATGAACAGCAACAGCTGCAGCAGCATGAACAGCAACAGCTGCAGCAGCATGAACAGCAACAGCTGCAGCAGCATGAACAGCAACAGCTGCAGCAGCACGAGAAGCAACAGCTGTAGCAGCAGCAGCAGCAACAGCTGCATCAGTATGAATAGCTGCAGCAACAACTGTATCAGCATGAGTGTCAGCAAATGTAGAATTCAACGCACTCTGGCCAACCTGTTCTCTTGAACTCATGTTGTATTTTGACGTCAAATTCCACGTCGTCAAATTACGACGATTTAAAACTCACAGCGGCTCGCAAAACTGTTCCTGTCGTCCCGTTTTCTATTCGAGTGTTCTATGTTAGGTTAGGTTCGGGTAATATAGAACATCATTTTAGTGAAGTTGTGAACACTGGAGAGGACGGGTCTGCCTTGGAAGAAGTCAATATTAAGGGGGATTGACGCAATATTTTCAATACGAGACAAAATGGCTTCTAAATCCATTAGATTTAGAACTCCCTCTAATGTTAGGTCGTGTTAAGGTTTACTCAACTTGCTTTCCCTGGAACACGACTCGCCAAGCTGTTTACAGCCAGGAACCCGTATAATGCTGGGAGAACAGGGGCGATCTCGTATGGATTGGTGCCCCAGTGAACGATCTCTTGCCCTGTCTTACACACACAAATCACAATTGCGTGATGCATCAAATGAACAAATCCACAAGGGCCGTGATGAGGATTCGAACCTGCGTCCGCGAGCAGGTGACAGGGAGGAACCTGGTGACAGACAGGAACCTGGTGACAGGCAGGAACCTGGTGACAGGGAGGAACCAGGTGACAGGGAGGAACCAGGTGACAGGGAGGGACCTGGTGACAGACAGGAACCTGGTGACAGGGAGGGACCTGGTGACAGGGAGGAACCTGGTGACAGGCAGGAACCTGGTGACAGGCAGGAACCTGGTGACAGACAGGAACCTGGTGACAGGCAGGAAACTGGTGACAGACAGGAACCTGGTGACAGGGAGGGACCTGGTGACAGGCAGGAACCTGGTGACAGGGAGGGACCTGGTGACAGATAGGAAGCTGGTGACAGACAGGAACCTGGTGACAGACAGGAACCTGGTGACAGATAGGAAGCTGGTGACAGACAGGAACCTGGTGACAGACAGGAACCTGGTGACATATAGGAAGCTGGTGACAGACAGGAACCTGGTGACAGATAGGAAGCTGGTGACAGACAGGAACCTGGTGACAGACAGGAACCTGGTGACAGACAGGAACCTGGTGACAGACAGGAACCTGGTGACAGACAGGAACCTGGTGACAGACAGGAACCTGGTGACAGACAGGAACCTGGTGACAGGCAGGAAACTGGTGACAGACAGGAACCTGGTGACAGGGAGGGACCTGGTGACAGACAGGAACCTGGTGACAGACAGGAACCTGGTGACAGACAGGAACCTGGTGACAGGCAGG